GAAAGAAACCATAGACGTTTTTATAAAATCTTCTCCTTCCTTTTCTTTAGCCTCCCAATAAAACTCCCAAACAAAGTTAAACTTAAAATTCTCTTCCCTTCCCCCTCTTTACCCCCCATCCAAAAGCAACATAATGCTAACCGACATTCAACCAGAAAAAAAAGAGAGAATTATAGGAAGTAGGAGGAATGAAGAAAGAAAACAAAGAAAACAAACAGTGTTAACTTGCAGATAGATATTTCTAAGGTCATCCACGTAACTACAATATGCAATCTCAATGTTACTGGTATAGATATGCAGACTTTAGGTTCATTTCTCTAGTTACACCGTATCTTAGGGTGCCGGATTGTAATTTTTTGTTTAGCAAACATTTACCCTCTATTTATTTTTTAAAAAAAAATTTGTTTACTCAATCTCTTATACGACTATAAATGTAAATTTCCAATAATTGATTAGTAAAATATTGAAGACGACTCCACCAACCGGCCCGAACCATTAGGTCTGGTACAGTAAACGGGCTTCAAACCGGGTGGGCTTTCAGCCCCCCCCCCAAAGAGCACTAGATCTCTCTGGTGGCTTGTCAGTGGGTGTTGCCTCGGAGGCGAACTTGCAGAGCATTTTCAGAATGTGCCCCATTTCATTAATCTGCCGCAAACTCACCACCTACGGGTGCCAGTACCCAAAAAAAAAGAGTTGTGCCTACAGAGGCCAGACAAGAAAAAAAAAAGAAGAAGAAGCTATAAATGCTTCACGCCATCTATTATTAGCCACGTGTGTGATTAAGAACGGAGGAAAGCGAGATTTATCCTTCTGTTTGTTTCTTCCCTTTCGCTCTCCATCAAATTAGTATGCTTGTGATTAGTAAAATATTAAAGGCTTTTTACTTAATATTAGGGGCTGTTTGGTTCGCTATTATAAGGGGTGGAAAACTCAGAAAACCCCTCCACGTCAGATTTTTAGCCCTTCACGTCAGCTTTTTTTGTTTCCGTCCATTTCTTTGTGCCGCTTTGGTTCGCTCGAATGGAAGAGGGAAAACTCTGCTGAAATCGCCGCCAACTAAGATTTTTTTCCCTCTCCGATTTCCTTCCCCAACCAAGTGAAATTGATGAAAACTCTGCCACGTCAGATTTTTTTCCTTCTCTGCTTTGTTTACAAAAGTTTTTCTTTTTTTTCTATGCGAACCAAACACAAGAAAAATAAATACATTGGTTTCCCACCATTTTTTATGTGCGAACCAAAGCAAAACAATCTATTTCTTGGAAAAGTATGGAAAACTCAAAACTTGTGTTTCTTTACATGGAATTGCATTTCTCTATATCAAGGAAACGAACCAAACAGCCCCTAATATTAATCGTAAACATAATTGTTTTTCTTCATTATTATTATTATTATTATTATTTTGATAATCTTGAATTTTCTTTTTTCGACTATACTATCCAAGTACATATGGACTTTTCTAATTTCTGAAAGCTACGACTATGAACTAGTCATTTGAGTCCGATTATATTCACAAATATTATCCTCTTTAGTTTCTTAGTTTATCTTTTTGTGTAATAAAGTATGTAGGCGGACGATGATTACTTAGAACCAAAAAGATAAAAACTAAAATTAGGACATGTGCGTGTAATTGTCGCAGATGATTGGGAGCCATCGACGTTTTTCTTGTTGAGTAAACTAATAATTGCACACCTAACACAATGATGTGCATTGCATTGACCTTTAAGTTTTCATTTGCACTAAATAATAGAGCACGTTGCTATGTTTATTTCTTGATATTGTCAACTATCCTTTGGAATCCAAATATAAAATTTGGGCATAGCTAAAGCCGCCAAGCGTCAATTTCGGAGTACTTGAAATGCTTGCCCCAACTCTTTGCTCTTCAATTGATAATAGTTATAGATGACTGCAATGATTCATGAAGGGGTATATATTTAATCCGTTTTTTTAGACATATGCCTAATTGTATATTTTAATCTTAGAAGTACTATTTTAAAAATTCATGTCAATAAAGTTTGTGTTCTCATTAAGAATTGGGCATATGGTATCAAACACTGGGGGGAAAAAATCCATGTATTTCTTACATCCCATAATAACCTTATCATTTTTGAATAGGTTCTACTAATCGTTGTCTATTAGGATGCCCTAAATCCTAATTCGTCTGTTTATTATGTTCTATTTCTCAACTGTTCGGTTGGTATGTGGCTAAAGAAATTAGGGTTAAATTTTGACATAGTAACTATTACCCTAAAAATTAATAGGAGAAATATTGCTGTGTTATAAACTTTCTTTTAAGTATAGAACTTAACTTTAGATGGATCTCTACACTCTCAACCCTAAAGTTTTACGGTGTTTTTTGTAAATTTAAAACTTTTCAAGGAGCTGTTTTAGATCTTTGGTTTTGAGTTTATTGTTTTATGTTTGAAAATTTCATTATTTTGTAAATTCATAATTTTTATGGTTTTTTGCAAGTTCTTAAAGTTTTAAGGTGTTTCTGCAAATTCTTAAACTTTTAGCGTTGTTTGTATTTCCCTGATTTTCATTGTAATGTTTTTAGAAATTTTTAGTTTGTTATTTAAATTTTGTTTTTGAGGGTGTTTTTTTTATAATTTTTAAAATTCAAGATGTTTTCTGTAGATTTAAATTTTTTTTAGGGCGCTTCTTGTAGGGTTTGAAATTTTCAATGTCATTTGTGTGTTCTGAATTTTTAGGATGTTTTTTTTACAAAATTTAAAATTTTCTAGGGTTTTCTTGTAGTTTTGGAATTATTGGGAGTTGTTTGTAATTTTATATTTTACAAGGGGATATTGTAATTGTTTTATTTTGGGTCCTTTGATAAGTTGTGAAACTTTTTTTTGGGTTATGTATAATTGCACATGATCAAATGATCCAAGCCTCTCGGTAATCTACGTTCCTTTAATATTACCATTTTTTTCGTGATTTAACTCGATCTCCAGTGTTTTTCCGGTTCATTATTTGGGTTTTGTTTCTCTAGGGGGACTTTTGCTAACCAGGGGGAATTTTTTTTTTTTTCCTAACGCAGGCTGACTGCAACGGCGCCGTTCGAGCGCGACGGGGGCTTGATGAGGAAGGGGAAAACGGAGTTTCAGAGCCTCTAGCAACCCTTAGACGCTCGTTAGTATGATACTATGTCGACCGGGTTTGCTAATTATCCTACTTAGTACTTACTTAGGTGTCGCCTGTGGTCATGGACTTTGGCATTCTTTTTCTTTTTCTTCTCTTTTCCTTTTGGGCAATTATGAATTGCTTGTGTGCGTATATGTTGGCAGTGTAACTGTTTCAGGTATGCGCTTCTGATTACTTTATATGTTCCATTTTCTAGGGCCAACTTGGGGGGTTATTGCTGAAAGTACCCTGGGGGAGGGGTGAATAGGGTAATTGCTAATCTAATCCGATATTGATGCCAAATTAAAACTTATAGTAAAATATCCTGACAATATGATGCACAACAAATTATGTGTAAGGATATGCAATAAACAATATGTGATATAAACATGCACAAGATATAAAATCAAGTAGTGGGCCAAAACAATCGCAAACACAGGGATATGATCACGGAGTTCGGCAAACCCTCGACCTACGTCTCCGCTCCTCACCTCACCTCGAGGAGATTCTCCACTATCACAAAATAACTACACAATTCGATTTTCAAAGTTCATCGAAAATTTTTACAATCTACACGTTGTCAATCCCACAATACACTTCTCTAAGTGTTGGCCTACGCGTGTCACCTTCGTCAAGTGCTTGGAATTATTACCTCTCCCTAGGCTTTTACAACCAAGTTACTCATTGTGGAATTGACCCCGGTCTCTCCCAACCACTTCTCTAAGTGTCATTGTGTATTACAACGTGTTACAATAATAAGTACAAATAAATGAAATTGTTCTCCAAAATACAAATGAGAATGAAATTGTAAGCTCACTCAAGGAATACACTCACACAACCCAACTATACTATATGTGAAATACTTCAGCTCAAGTGGTTGCGTGTGTAAATAATGAGTATAATGAAATCAAAGTAAACTCAAATCAATCTAGCACAAAATATATGATAATCAAAATAATAAATATATAGAGGATGAGATCAGAAAAACTTGTCTAAAACAAAGAGATATAGAGATTTGAAGATGAAATCATTCTCTTTGTAAAACTCCTTCAAACAAACAAATACACTTGATTTTCTCTTAAAACCCCTTAAAAAACTTGCAAAACCTTTTTCTAAACTTCCATAATGAAACCAATGAGTTATAAGGGATATATATAGCCTCTCAAAAGAAATCAGCCAAAAACTAGCTGTTACAGTCAAAACTAGTCGTTCGGTCGACTTATTTTCTAGATCGGTCGATTGATTCGACTGAAAATACAAAGGCTATAAAACCACACTGGTCAATCGACTGATAAATTACATCATTCGATTGATGAGATGTGATCGGTCGACTGATTTTAAGAATCGACCGACTTATAGCTGATACACATGTTTGCTGAATTTTGAGAAGCTAATTTTCTAAATTCAATTTAAAATAGCAAATCAACTCAAAAAATAGTAAAACATTGGGACACATTTATAAACATGAATATAAACATGTTAGAGAAGAAATTTCTAAAATATCATTTCTCATTTGTGAAAACTCACTGACCGAAAAATAGATATTCCAGTTTCTGAAATTTCTTGAAGAGTTGATTTTCTAAATTTGATTTAAAATAGTAAATCAACTCCAAAAATAATAAAAATTAGGAAAATGTTTATATATCTGAAAATAAATATATTATAAAAGGAATTTCTAAAAAAATATTTCCCAAGAGTGAAAACTCACTGTTTTGCAAAACGGTCAAAAATGCAAGTTTGTTAAGTACTTGATTTGATGAAATTTCTTCATAAGCCCCCGTCACATACGCGTACAAAAAGGTTGTCGGATCAAACACGATGGTCTCGTATCCGCCAACCATCCCGTACGCGTAGGTGACTAGTAAATAAAGAGATTATATATAGTATTTATTAGACAAGAATATCTACAGCTCAAAAATATAAGTGTACAATGTGTGCAATTTCTATATAATTAGCAATATAATAGTTACGCTAACCTTTCACCCTCACCCTTACCATCACTGTAACCCTAACCCTCACCTAACCCTAACCCCTGCCCTCGCCATAATCTTCGCCCTTGCCCTAACCCTAACCCTCACCAAACTCTAACCCCCGCCCTCGCCATAATCTTCGCTCTCGCCCTAACCCTAACCCTAACCCTAACACTCACATAACCCTAACCCTTGCCCATAACCCCCGCCCCCCTACCCCCGCCCTAACCCTAACCCTCACCCTCACCCTCACCTAACCCTCACCCTCACCCTCACCCTAACCCTCACCAAAACCTAACCCTAACCCTCGCCTAACCCTAACTCTAACCCTAACTATATCTTGTTTTATTATGTTATAATTTTAGCAAGATGAAAATTTTTTTGTTTTGCAATATCTTATTAGGGTTCGAGTTTTTTTTATTTTGTAAAAATTAAATTGTAATTATAATTAAAAAAAATGAAATTAATAAATAATACAATTTTAAAAACCCTCTCTCCCCCTACATCTTTTGCCTCTCGCTCGGCGGTCGAGACCGTCGATCGCCGTTTCGTCGGTCGATCTGAGAGAGAAGAGAGTGGAATGAGAAGATGTACTAGGGGGAAGAAAGAGAGAGGACGGGGAGAGATGGTACCTGAGGAGAGAGAGAGAGAAGAGAGGGAGAGAGAGAGAGAAGTCTAGAGAGAGAGAGAGATGGAGGGCACGGCGCGGACGAGTTGTCGTAAGGGCTGTAGTGGTGGTCGGGCTGACGATACATCAGTCCTGTTGGCGTTAGCGGCAATGCGCGGTCTTGGGTGCCCGACGAAGAGACAAGTGGGTAGGGAGGAGCCAACGAAATTAAGAGATGGAGGGGGAGAAGGGGGGGGATTGTGAATGAGGAGAGAGGGGCGGATCTAGCGGAATTGTTAGTTTCCGGCCGCGGGCTGCCCAAAATATTTTTGGGCAAGCCGCGCCATTACACAATTTTTTTTCTTTTTTTTACTCTTTAGCGACGGAAATTCCGTTACCATAACTTAAAAATTCCATCGCTAAAAGGGATTTTAACGTCGGATTTTTACCGACGGATTTATTCTGTCAGGAAATTAACGGCGACAGAAATTTTCCATCGCCAATAAGTACTTGTCCATCGGTATAATATGTTTTGCTGACGGGATTATAGCGACGGAAATATCCGTCGCTATAAGTCAAAGTATATCGACGGAAATGTCTGTCACTATACTTTCGTGGTTAATAGTCATATCTTCGGAGCTTTGAATTGCGAGAGCGTCCTTTGGTGACAGATTCATCCTATTTGAACTATAATAGAGGGGATTAGTGCACATAAATAGTTCGCATATATGCTCAGAAAGAAATACATAAAAGTAGAATTAAAAAGATAATATCGTAATCTTCCAAGAAAAAAAAAGAAATACTTAAAAATAGAAGTCATAGAAATAATTCCCTAATAATACTATAGTACACAAAATCTGAAATTACGAATGACGAAGAATCTAAATAATATAAAAAGATTAAAATTCCTAACCAAACATTAAAATCTTTGAATCATACTCCCTTTAAAAGTACGAGTTCGAGAAAATCTTTCTATGGTCAATATTACCCTTCACTATTTTAAATATTTCATGTATATCTTAATCTATCATAATCATAACTTATCCTAATCCTACGTGAACTATCTATAGTTTAACAATTAAAAAAATATTAATAAAATATATAAAATATCTTCATGGTATTAGTTTGTTAAGATAAAGAAATTAGACGTAGTTAAAGTACTATAATACATAAAGTATTGCAAAAACCTAAAAGTTTAAAATTACAAAAAATGCCCTGAAAAGTTTAAAATTATAAAAATTATCCCGACGTCTAAAAACTTAAAACAACAAACATGAAAACAAGAAATTAGCACCAGTTTACGAAGAATTCAAAAATTATAAACAAGCACATGAAATTCTCAAAATTATAGAAACACCCTAAAAAGTTTAAATTATAATTTGCGGTTAACATCTCAATATCTCAAAAATTATAGAAACACCCTAAAAAGTTTAAATTACAAACAAGCACATGAAATTCTCAAAATTTTAAAACTTGCAAACAACATAGATGAATTCAAGGGATTACCATAATGCATAAAAATTTCTGACATTTCAAAACTTAAAACAAAATACATAAAATCAAGAAATTAACATCAGCCTCCAAAAAATTTAAAATTTTTAATTAACATCCTCAATGTCCAAAAATTATAGAAATACCCTTAAAAGTTCAAATTATAAAAAACAACCCTAACATTTTAAAAATTCTAAAATTTGCAAACAACAAAAGATGAATTCAAGAGATTACCCTCATGCACCTAAAAATTTAAAATTTATTGAAATTAACCTCAAAGTTATAAAAGTTGTAGAAAAAACTCTTTTGAAATATAAAAATTATAAAAAACTCTAAATTTTTAAAATTTATAACCAATACACATTAAATCTGAAAACTATTGGTAGACCGCTGAAATTTGAATTTTTTAAAAATTAATCTACAGTTTTAACAATTACAAAAAGCAACCTTAAAATTTTAGAGTTGTAATAAATATCGTGATATTTAAAAATTACCACCGACACATGAAACATAGAAGTTATAACTACCAAACTTAAAAGTAATTTTTTAAAAATGCTCCTAAAGTTTTAAAAGTTACAAATCACACCCTCAAAGTTCAAAACCAAAAAAGGTTGAAATTTTAAAACTTGACAAAGAAAAGTGTAATTGTTAGGTATTCTTTCATTAGGATATATATATTTAATTTCTAATTTAGGGTTTACTATTCCTTTTCAGTATCTAAAGATAGTCTAAGTTGATACTGGTAAACAAAAGTAATAAGAATTGATTAAAATCCAGTCTGGGGTATTTTATCCCGAAGCCTAAGTAGGGATAGTAAAATCCAGTCTAAGTTGATAAAATTCCCACTGTGGTCGCCAGTTTGTTTGCGGTGAAAGTTGATTTCTTCATTGTTTTCATTGCTACCGAATCTATTACAACTTTAGTCGTTACAATAAACTCGAATAAAATAAAAAGTTGATCTTTTTATAAGATCTCCTTACACAATGAAAATAAAAAAAAAAGTTTATAACTTTATCAAACAAACACAAAGATCATTTATCGGTCTTCTGCTTGCGTGGGATCTTTGCCTGTGCCGGGGTTTATCCGTAGACCACCGTCGATCAGATCTACTTGCTAAAAAATTGGGCAGAGCTTTGTCTATCCGCG